AATGTTCCCAGATCAAAATTGAAAATGAAGAACATTTCTTCATGGAATGTCTTAGGTACCAAACAGAAAGACAAAAGCTATTTAATAATATCAGTATTCCAGAAGAATTGAAAAGTGATAACCAGATATTTAAATATATTATGAGTTCAAGAGAAGACGTACTAATAAGACAAGTTGGTGAATACTTATACAAAATATTTGAAATCAGAAATATCAATAACTGACATTTTACTTTTACTTTAATTTTATATGTATTGTACTTTATTACTAACATTTTATTGCTGTTCAACCAATGGAAATTATTTCTAAGGATGCAATAAATTCATTATTATTATTATTATACAAGGGCACCACCATAATACAATAATGCATACTGGGGCACATAAATAAGGATATTGCCACACAGGAAGGGTCATGACACACTGGGGAGCAATAATGCCACACGGGAGGTAGCAATAATAATTACACTACATATTGCTTTACATTGCCACACAAGGGTATATTGCCACATAGGAAAGCCAATGGCACATGGGAGAGCAATTAAGCCACACAAGAGATGATATGGAAATAAGACATATAAGGGCACTACCATAATACATATGGATCTATAATGCCATACGAGTATACTATGGCACATGGGAGAAATCAATAATGCCATATGAAATGTCTTGCAGAGGGGCTATATAATTCCACAAAAGAGCTATGCCAACACAGCCTTGGATGTTGCGAGTACCTACTCGCAAATGCGCCTAAAAAATACGTCTATGCGAGTACAAACTTGCAAGTATCCGCATTGAGCTTGTAGTTTTCAGAAACTACTTGTATTTTGCGAGTGAAAATTGAAGCCCTACACGCAGCTGAAACATGCCTTGCACGACTCAGACTAGACGGATACCGTGCACAATCTTTAGGCTTTGAATAATATACGCTGTACTCGGAAAGTCTAGTTTCAGGCGCATGACAAGTGTCATGTTGCAATTGAGAGCATACAAGTCAAAATAAAGATCGAAATAGTAACATTGTATTATAAATACGTTGTTGGCAGTTGTTTTGTTCTAGTCAAAATACGGGCATACAGGGTTTTTTAAATGAATGCCAGTTTACACTGTCGGCAGCTCTTTGATTGTCATTTAATTATTTTCATTGGCTAACGTGACGGCGTTTTTCAGTGTCGTGTTGGAAACATCAATAATCAAAGTCACACTGTCGCATTCTCAGCTCGAACAAGACATGGTGAATAAGCAGATTACTAATTTCTTTCGGCCGGTTGAGCAGAATAAAATTCCAGCAACAAACTCCGGGACATTAGATCCAACATCATCGCATCCAGTCACAAAACGAAAGATGTGGTTGATCTAATACTTATCAGCCTGGGAGGCCCTAGCATGCAGTGTTGTGCCAAGGTTTGAAAAAAGTGGGGACCAATGGCCCCATGACCCCCCAAAAATGGGGCCATTTTGCCAAAAATTGGGTCAACACAAGTCAAACATAGAACTGATTATATTACATAACATGTAGTTTTATTTCCAGTTTTGTGTAACAATAACATCATTACAGTTAACTGGCAAACTAAAAGAAGATGGTTAACGTGGTTACAACTGTACAGTAGTGGTCATTAATGTTTGTTACTTAGTAATAAAATGTTCAAAGATGTTCATGTGAAATAAAAACATTTATTCAACTTGTGTGGAATATCTTTCTGTCTTTAGATTTTCTCCAATGTTGTAATGCTGCATTGAAGTCAAATGTTTCAATTGGGTCACCTTCAAGTTTGACTATTAGCAAGTCATCAACTCTTGCAGAGGACAGCTTATTTCTAGCAGCTGTTTTAATCTGGTTCTGGGCACTGAAACCCCTTTCACAATCAGCAGTATAGATTGGGGCAGTTAGAGCCAATGGGGCAGTTAGAGCCAATGAGGCCAGAGTTAACAAATTTGGAAAATCATCTTTATGATACCGTACTTGTTAATCATTCTCCACAAATCAGCCATTTTGTCTCTTGGATAACCAGCTTTGACTACCAATGGCTTCACAAGGGACCACTCTTTTCTTGTAGTTTCTGCATCAATTATTGGTTCAACTGTCACAGGAGTCTTGTCATTCAGAGGTTTGGACACCTTAGGCATTCCATACTGGCAGACAAGTGTTTCTAAATGTTCATTACCCCATGTTTCAAGGTCTTTTTGGGAACATAATGATATTGGCCTCATTCCAAGCACACCAAAAGCATACACGATATTACTATCATTATTTGGAAATCTCTGGTCAATTTTTTCCAAGATTCCATTAACAAATTTTTCCCTGATTGAATCAATGTTCTGTTTCCCTGTATGATATGGTTATCTTTGAAAGTAAGTCTCCCCTTTTCAGACTTCAGATGCTCACTCTGTAGCTGATAAGGTAAGTGTCATGTTCTACTTCAGAAGATTTCATCCTATTTAGAGCTGTTTTGCAGTGATCTACTGACACTTGCACTAAGCTAACATCAAGGTCAGATTTTTGAAAAACAAGGCACAATTCTGAGACTATTGGTAATATATCCATGAGCAGGTAAGTGGTAACTAAAACATCGTACTTGGACATCTTACTGCCATAACCTTTAGATTTAGCATCTTTGTCAGTGGTAAAAAATGTAATAAGTGAGTCTAAACACCTATACACAGTTTTTACAGCCAGATAGACAGACAACCATCTCACGTCATGAACCTCTTTAATTTTTAAATTGGGTTCTTCAAGCAAATTTTGAATATCTGTTAATCTTGTACGATTTCATGATGCCTTAAAAAAGTAGAAAATCCCAGTCATTATTCGCTGGTATTCAACCAAGTAGGGAACCTCATCAGCTGCCTGAGATGTTACTAATGCTAAACGATGTGCAATACAGTGGTAATTTAACATCATTGGGTTTTCTCTTAACATGAAGGCAGTTACACCCTGTCATCACGGTGGCCCCGTCTGTACCAAGGCCCATTATCTTGGTTGGTGCATGGAAGCTGTTTTTCTTGTATAACACCAGACAATTCTTCGTGAATGGCTTTGCCTGTTCCACTTTTTACTTCCAAATTGCATAGAAAATGTGTTGATGGTTTGAAGGAGTCCGGGTATAAAATTTTACTATAGACAACCATTTATTTTTTTAATACCAATATCTATAGTCTCATCACACAGAACACTGACAAAGGGTGACTTTAACAGTCTATTATCAAGTCCTTTTCGGATAACAGTGGCAGGAGACTCTAGCATTTCACATGCTGCTTTGTTGGAAGCGCAAGTTACATTTTTTTCCTGTTCTGAGTCCTGTCACATGTGGACATTCAAGTTGCTCAAGCAGGTTAAGTAGGCTATCATATTTGTTAATTGCAATGTCCTCTTTTGCTAGAAAAAACACTACACGTATAGCAACCAACAGGCTATTTTCATTTTTTGCCACCTTCTGAAAGTCGGAAATCATTGAATGTGACATCATTGCTGGTTTGTGATCGTTACATTCTGCATGGCGAGTAAGTGTGCTTGTTCGGAAATTAGCATTCACTTTGGTCATAGTGTTCTGTTTATTTTGCTTGATACACACTTTGCAGGTCATTGCATTCTTGGAAGCTTCATATTGTAGCCATTTAAAATCTCGTAGCCACTTATCTTGAAAACGTCGGACATACCTTGAAGTTTGCATTCCCGCGAAAGACGGTTCACTCCCGATGCCATCTTCACGCTCTTGCGATGTAATAGTAGAATCACGTACCGTAGTTTTCGAAGACTGTGATGTTTCCGGTGGAGATAAAGACACATCTTCCACAGTGGTGGATTTTTCTGACTCATCTAACCCAATCTCGTCATTCGATTTGCTTTTCTTTTGAGCTGATGGTCCGAAAAAGCTCAATATTATTCTACCCTTTCGTTTTGAACCATCGTGTGCAGACATCTTGCTTTCATTTATCGACTCAATAAAACGGCAGTGTTGATTGGTTGAGGGCGTGGGCTTCGCCAATGAAAATCAATTTCACAATTGAGGGTAGGCTGACTGCGCTGGACATCGATGTGACAGCAAGCAAATTTTAGTACGCGAACTGAGCGAATCAAAATCAATTTCACAGTTGAGGGTAGGCTGACTGCGCTGGACATCGATGTGACAGCAAGTGTAAATTTTAGTACGCGAACTGAGCGAATCAAAATCAATTTCACAGTCGGGGCGTGCACTAATTGAGTAGTCGCTATGTCAACGGTGACTGATAGCGTTATTCAAGTCGTGATTTTAGCCAATGAAAATTGAGTTCACATCGGCGATTAGGTAGTATTGAGTAGACACAATATCAACACTGTACGATAGCATATAAATACATACACGTGGATAGGTAAAGGCGATTTCGTTTTTTTTTTACTCGTCATTAAAAAAAATGAGTCGTCAAAGTGGCGTGATTTCTTTGAAAGTATTTATTCATTACAGATTTGTACTGGCAAAATGAGTGCGCCCAAAGGCCCTTCCAGCCAAATAAAGTTGCGTCATTTTTTATTTTTTGCGGGAATGGCGCAAGAGCGCGGCCTCGGCACAACACTGAGCATGGCCGAATTTATCCTTCAAGTTCTGTTAACAGATGCATGCATGAATCAGTGCGGGCCAGACTACCAAATGTGAAACTGGTGTGGCCTGATAATATCGTACATGCAGTGTAGACCAGGACTTTTTGTAACAGAACAACATCTCTCATGTCATTATTGTAGTTGTATTCGCAAAGTTTAACATAACACATTTTATTTGTTCTACGCATGAAACAGTTTTGCTCCTAAAATTTTAGGTTTAGGAGCATTTTTCTCCGAATTTTTTAGTGCTTAGGAGCATTTTGCTCTTTGCCAAAAAGTTAACTTTTAAGGCTGCTCATGGGAGTGATTTTTGCTTACCTGGCCTCTTTCACAGTAAGAGGTCTTGTCTTGCAAACATCAGTTGATGTATCTAGTTTCTCACATGACTCCTCTTGCATGTCTGCATCTCGTTCCTCTTCCTCCTCTTCCACATCATCATCATCATCATCAGTGGGTTTTTGAGGCTATAAACAAATACATAATAAGTTACGACATGTATAAACTGATTTAATTAGTGACAAATTAAAACAAAGTTGCCAAAGAATTTCACTGGGGGGGGGGGGGGTAATGCAGCTCAACCTGCACTGCAATATAGTCATTTTAGGATTTCTGGTGGGGTAGAACGTTTATGTGATTTATTTGATTCATGAATATGCATAAATTCAGTAGTCAAAACGAGCAGTAGTCAAGTTTCTCCAACCACTTTTGCAACCAAATAGGTAACCATGTAATTAAGGCAGTCAGCAAATATACCTTATTTTCTCTATTTTACATTTAACTAATCAAAAATCAGTGAAAACAAGTCATTGAAAATGACACAGTCCCCGTAAAATTTTTGAAAGTTCTCTTTGTGCTCGTCATATTAACGCAGAGGGGTTGTCGCGAGCGTGTCCTTGAAACTTGAGTTCCTAGTGGCGTATACAACAGATTGTTTATTTACATCAAAACACGTGTTCCGTGTAGTAGTAATATGGCCAAAAATAAAAACAGCCATTATTCGGTCATCTTTGAACTGATTATGAAACACACTGATATGTATGATGTATGTGCCAAATACAAATGAAAATCGTACATAAATTGTGGAAATATAGTAGTAAGGCCAAAAAGTCAGAATTAGTACCACATAAAGTACTAGGCACATGCAAAGAATGAACAGAATCGGTCCAAGGGATTCTGAGATATGACTCCGGCCGGACGCACGAATGCACAGACGCACGAACGGACGGACGGAGACCGAATTATAAGTCCCTGTTTTCGGACTTCGTCTGAACGGGGACTAATAAATTTCTTACGAAACACCCCAAAAAAATGTTCAGCAAATATTCATTTCAACTGTAAAGTCAAGTATTTTACAGTAGTATCTACACCTTTGCTGGAAAAAATAGTTTCTATATAAAAAAAAAAAACATTAATTGAGCAGTAATTTGAAAAGCCAGATCACAGTACGACTTGCTTTGACTGACAACACTGTAAATGCCAACAATTATTGAATTACTTTGTGAACAAAGATATTTGGCGTAATAAAAGTACTGGTACCGGTAAACTCTTTCTCTCTCTTTTTATTTTGGCAGACATTTTTTTATGTGATCAACTAGTTTTTCAGAGTCAGTTGGCTCTTTGGACAACATAGTTTTTTTTTTTTTTTTTAGTTTTGACTCCTGAAATTGTACAAAAATTAATTCAAAGTTTTAGATTTCAGTGTGTTCTAGTGTCATTTACTAACAATTAAAATCATGTTTCAATGCTTGTGAATTTACAAAGATTCATCATTGATCAAAATTAATGCAACCTGGAGGTGAATGCAGATGAACTCGAAAATATTTCACACAAGTTACACATATGCAAAATAACAAACGAGTCACATAAGGCCAAGACAAAAATCAGAGGTGGTGACTTTCCTTGACTTTTTTTTTGACCAAGCTTTGGGAAGAAGGTAGCGGGTAAGACATGTCAACACTGAAACTTCATATTCTGTTCATATTACTGTAAAATCTGTATTAGAAGCCGCATTCCTATCAAAAGAAGTCACACCCATTCGTTTTGAACAATTGAGAAGCAAACATTCACCATTTTTCATATGTGTACATGCTCTAATAGAAGCCGCATCCCCTCTGTTGCATTGCACCATTTTAATAGATGCCGCAGCTTCTAATACGGATTTTACAGTAGTCAGTTTGGTTACATAACACATGTATATTATTGCCAAGATGCTGAATTGCTCGAGTTTCGCACATTGAGTTATTGTTGAACGTTCACATTTAGTAACTCAAACTTGAATTAACAGTTAACCGAATTTTGAGAAACATTAAACAAAACAAAAAAATATATGTTGCTCAAAACTTGAAGTTTGGTTAACTGTTAAATGAACATCAAATTACAATTTGGGCATAGTTTCTAAAATACAAGCATGGTCATTTTTGTGACTTAATTTTTTCGTAACTCAACTCAACTCAATGTCTAACTCAAACAATTCAGTATCTCATTATTACCTCAGCATTTCTCTGTACAAATATGTAGTTACTACCGGTACTGCCAAGTGTTTTAACTAATTCTTTAACTGGAAACTCTTCTATAGCTCTTTTTTCCAAATGATATTTTTCTTGAAATGAGACACTATCAGATGCAAATTCTGTACTGCACACACTGTATAATAAGTATTATAAGTTACACTGTGATAAAACATTTTTGACACACAAAGTTATTAAGCCCTCATATTTAAATTATTGAGCCTTCAGGAAAAAACCTAGGTACCCAAACTAATTCTTGAATTATAATCCTTGACTGAATGTATTTTGATGTTTTTTCAAAATAAAAATGATAGCCAGAATTTTTTGTAGAATTTTATTTCAGCAAATCACAAAATCTTCTTTTCCATGGGTAACTACTTTCTACATGCCGTTTGTCATTTATTTGATGATACTGTTCAAAGTTTAAATGGTTTGGATTTTTGCTTTTGGCTGCAAATAAACCTCTTTATCAGACATGCAAAATCTCATATAACACATTAAAACTGAAATAAGGATTGAATTCAGACTGTTGATCTTAAATGACCCTTAAACAAGTTTTGATACTCTGATTAATGCACAAAAAACTTGTGACATGGCTGTTATTGACATTGTAAACACATCTTGGAATTGAATATTATATCAAATTAATATGTGGCAATCAGGTTATTTATGAGACAGGTGCATTCTGGATGTTAAATGTTGTCCTTGCATCTTTGAATGAGTAGTTATACTGTGAAAATATTCATAATTGTGACACTATTTTATCTTGGGGTGCAGATACAAAAGGTAATTCTTTCTTATCACATGGAGTTTCCTGCTGTACGGCAAAAGAAATATTACACTTAAACATTATTTAAACATTCCAAACTTTTATTAACATTTTTTACAATGGTATGTATAAATTTGAATAATTTGGTTTTTATATAACATTCTGTGACAATCGATTGTGAAGGTTTTTATTTCATAATTAGACTACAAATGCAATCAGTCAGTCTTCATAAATAAATACGTATATGCTTTATCTCACTTGGTTTAGAATTAAATGATAGTATAATGTTGATATTAAATTTTTGAAAGTTCTCTTTGTGCTCGTCATATTAAAGTGGAGGGGTTGTCGCGAGTGTGTCGTTAAAACTTGAGTCCAAAGTGGCGTATACTGGTACATTAGATTGTTTATTTACATCAAATTCGAACATGTGTTGCGTGACAACCCCTCCGGTTTGAGCCATAGCAAAGAAAAACATAGATCACAAGTGAAAGCATGGCCAAGTTATCACATTTTAAACAAACAAGATGGTCGCCAGTCAGCCATATTGAATCAAATTGCAAATTGAATTGACATGTACCCATTTTTTTTTTTTTTTTATTTAAACAATATTTTTATTTTGTTTCAATAATGGACATACAACACAAAATATTACATCACATAATGGAAAAATAAAGAAAAAAAAAACTAAGAAAAAAAAAAAAGAAAAAGAAGATCTGGTATAACATCTAAATTTACCCATTATCTAACCAATTAGTTAATGGTTTCCCATTTCTGATAATGG